AAAAAAAAAGCAATTTCATACTCAAAACTAACTCTTTCCATTCAACAATCACAACATATTGGTCTGTAATAGTGGGGTGTGGAAGTTTCTTTGTCTGCTTGCCCTTTTTTTTTAAAAAAAAAAAAGAAAAAGAAACTAGCCAAGCTTTAAGCTATTTCACTTCCATATGTCTATGCTGGTTCCAAAAAACATCAAGTTAGCAATATGCTGAGAGCTGCTAAGCCTTGTTTCAGCTTCATATATGACAAAGTCTGCAAGAGCTATAGGGTCACCCTTAGTCCAAGTTAAGAACTTATGTCACAGCAAGTTCCATTAAACTATCTCTATTCCTACTACTTTCTTGATAACTCCTTAAGAATCCCATTCTGCAGTCAAATATGCACAGAGAAACTGATACGATTTAACAACTGGACTGACACAGCACAGTATTTCAGGCACATCATCACATTCCAGTTCTTAGTGACATATAAGTTAGTCTAAGTATAGTGAATAGTCAACCAAAAATGATGCTACACAATGCTTCTCCAAGAGGATTATGCTCCATGCCAAGCTTACACTTTATGCTGTTCAGAATAATGGCATCAGGGTTTAACTACAGTTTCCCCCCCGCACCTATTTTCTTTCGAGCTCCATAACTTCTGCTTATGTAGCTGAACTATTTTTGCTGATGTTTTAAAAGGAAACTTTGTACACTGGGCATTCACAATGTTCAGCCTCCCAAACATCACATCTCAGGAAGATACTAGCAACCAAAAGCATATTGAAAACTGTCATACAGAACTTAAGCGAGAGTAGGTGAAGGCAAACAACTTTCTCAGTTTACTAGCATATGTGGAATAAAAGCTGAATTCCAGACAGAAAAATTATTCTTCAGACATATAAAAAGAAATTTAATCAGCCAGTCTCAGACTACATCTGCAGCTTAGTCTCTATCAACAAAACAGAACAAAAGTTCTAAAGGTCAAAAACAACTTGAGTTTGTAAAAATTCAGAGAAAATAGAGAAGTGAAATGTACCCCTACTTTGCAAGGACACAGAACTCGCATTTTTGAGAAAGCTCAGCACGCATGAAACTGTGTGAGGCATAATCCCAACCCACACGCATTGTCATTTCAACTGCAGGTGCAAGACCACATCCTCTTGCAGTACTAACTGGAGAGGCTTCAAGAGCTGCCACCCTCGGTATTCAGTAATGCTGCTCTCTTGCTGCATGTTACTGTCACTCCTCAGACAAAGGCTCTGCAATCATTAATATAACGCTACAGTAAATGGAATACATAGAGTGATTAGATGACAATATTACTTCCAGGACTTGAATTCACAGAGAAATCATCCTGCTTAGGTAAAATATAAGCACACTTATGTCCTATATTTGACTGAATGCTTGCTCAGTTTTCTAAATGCCATGAGACACCAATTATGTTTCTTAATGGCATTCTTTAAAAGCTTAGAGCTGTTTTCCTCAGAAATCATGATTTTCTCAAATCATTCAATGCATGCATGTCTACTGCTCAAAACCAGGACAGCCTTCAACTTTGCACATTATTCCATTTTTATTTCATATTACTTCCATCACTTAATATTTAATCTACAGTTTCTCAATCTCATAAGGGGCAGTTTCTAAGTAAAGACATAGACAAGCATGAACATGCAGCCCTAATGCTTTAGAAAGTCTTCACCAGGTCTGCAACAGTTTCAGTGCTTCTCCCTAGAAGCGTTCCAGCTTCCTCAACCCACTTAGAGGTCTCATCAAAAAGCAGTTTCTTGGGAGACTTAAGGTACATTGGTACATAGGTGAATGTGTGGGATGAAACAGAAGATTACATTTTTTTTCAACAATTTATCAGTAGACCATGTCATCTAGACAGGTACGAAAAATGTCGCTAAGAGAGGCCTGTCAGTCTTGTATGATGAAAAAGTAACAAAATAGTATATTAGCATAACACAAAAGGACACAGCATTTATGAAATATTTTCCAGATTATAGTCTACAACTGCCACAACGCCAACAAGCCTCCCAGTGGAATCTGGACTAGATTCCACATCTCTCAGCTGTAAATTCTGCAAATTGAAAAAAGAAAACACACACACACACACACACACACAGAGATAAAAAGAGGAAATCAGCTCACCTTCTTTCCATCTGCATTACTGTGGACTTTAGTAACATGGTGACCCTCTTTCATACAGGTATGATTCTGACAAGCAAGAAGCCGTCCACAAAGTCTTTTACACGAGTAGGGACCTGCAGAGTGACATGGTAATGGGCTAACCTTAAATTAAAAAAGAAAAAATATATAAGCACACACTAATTTTGATTTCTAAGCATCTTTGCTAATTTAAAGTACTAAAACCCATTCAAAGTCTTCAGATTCTCATACCACCATGACCACGCTTTTATTAGCTAACAAGTTGACTTTCACAACATTTTCCCCTCAGTTTTTCAAACACACTACTACACTCCCAAAGCTTTTAGTGCTAGTTAGCCATTCTCTCTGAATTCCACTTGTGCCTTCCTTTAAAAATTCCCAAGGCGCTTTACAGCTATTCCTGAAGCAGTTTACAGTCTGTTCTTGTTGCTATGGTCATCATACAAACAAAACATCTTACAATGCTAAAATTAAGCACCAAAAACTAGCAAACGAAAAACAACCTGCAAGCCAGAAATTCTGAAAAACAAACACTGACCATACCAAATATATCTCCAAGGAGTTCAGAAGGGAAGAAAACCAGCACTGTACCAGGACTAGGATCTTAACTCCCAGTGAGATACTTGACTGTCTAGTTTGAGCTTAACACCCCAGTTAACAGAGCTTTATAGCACAACTCAGTATCAATTTAGGAATTTAGGATTTTCATTAGCACAGAAATGGAGTGCAGGCTCCAGGCTTGGTTAATTCTGTTACTTTCCTTGAGGTGGAGAGTATCCTTCACACTCCAAGTACAGTGGGAATTCACCATTACCATTTTCTAACACCATCATATAATATTGACATGAAAAACTCAGTTTCTGTGATACTGCCAAAGCCTGTTGTGTGGAGGAGTTTTTCTGTTTTTATAACAACAATCACTTTGCAGAGAACAACAGAAACCACTGGTACAGTTACTATACAATAGATTACTGTTATGTAACTTATTTTGGCTTGGACTTAAAGGTTGGATTTTCTGTTATAGCTTAAGCTGATTGAGCAGCTTATTACTGTACCCCTTCTACTTCTCTCTCCCAGCCTCACACTCCTAGCAGCACACTCCTGTCCAAGCTCTACCACACATCTGTTGTAAGAGTAGGTCAATTCAATGAAGATAATAGAAAAGGAATTGATTAAAAAGTTCCTTTTCTTTTGCTAGCTTTGCACGCTGACTGGCCGTGTGACCAGGTAAGCACTGGAACTGAAGCAGGGAAGACAGGAAAGAGCCACTCACACAAGCCAGAGTGAGGAAAATTCTCCCTTTAATGCTACGAAAACGTTGGTTTCCTTCAAACTAAAACTATACAAAGCAGGATTTGAATCCACTTGCCTTAGAAAGATTTTCTGGACCTACCCAACAAGGGACTGCATTCTGTATATGCCCACAATATGCCATTCATTCACAAAAACCCCTTAACTCCTTCTCCTGTCACCCCAGGTCGCAAAGACCTGGAGAGCAGAAGTCGTCTGCATAGCAGACTGGACAACAAGCACAGAAAAAAACACAGAGAACACTACTGTGCCCAACTACTCTCACATATTTATGCCAAAACTGACACTTGTTATGCTGGCTAAGCCAGGGATACAGCTCAGGTAAGCAGCTTGAATACTAGGTACACGCTCCCACCTGCAAGCATCCCACAGCTCCCTCTCTAGTGACTTTGGCTTCCACCGACCCGAAGGAGCTAAAGCTCAGATAGGTCTAATAAAAAAGAGTCCCAAGCAGCGAAGTGCTATCCCAAACCATGGGTGTGCACGCACACACACACACAGAGCTTTTGTCATTCCCCACATCCCTCACATCCCATCCTCCTCCAGGCTGCGAGTCACAACTTCAGCTCAGCATCCATGCATGGAGGCAGAGATTTTAATAAAAGCTTTTTTCACTACATGGCAATCAAATCCAAAACAGAGAATTTTAATTAAAAATCCAAAACAGAGAATTTTAATTAATTTGAATCTATGTTTAAATGCATGTTTTCTGAATTTTGTTGTCTTTTCATTACAGCAGTTATTCAGCATGGCTGCTGGTAAGAAATCAAAAGAACAGGATATAGGAAATTTTGCTTTCTATAGTTTCACATTTCTGCAGTGACTAAATAGAAGTTGCTACTAATACTACAAAGACGGGTATCTAAGAAATCCACACACACTCCTGTAGGAGAGTAAAGAAAGCAGATGAGAACCAGAAGTAATTTATAAAAGCTGAATGGAAAAGCAGAAGACACCATTCTCAGGCCACAGGCATTCCACAGGATAACTTCAAGAGAGATAGTTATGGAGATTAATCGGATCAAGTTTTAATAATGCTCTTCATTCTAAAAAAAAGGAAACCACAGCTAAAAAAGGACACATAAGGACTTTATCAGCTATTCAAATCACTCACTGCAAAAAATAGAGCTAAAAGACACAACTATCTTCCTTCTAGTAACACTTAATGAACTAAAAACATATACATGAACAACAATCTGAAATTAAAAATAAAATTACAAAAGAATGAAATATAATAAGTATAATATACTATCCTAAAATATATTTATACGCTAAATAAGTAAAAAGTTACTGACTTTTTAGATATATGTAAATATATTGAAAAATTTTATGTAGTAAGAAAATTATGTAGTAAATTTAAGAGGTTTGCACACTAACTAAAAAAAATGACATTTCAAGTTAAATATCATACAGAATCATAATTCCACTGAACTCAGATTTGATGTAATTATCTGAATTTGTTGTCTGTTTTTTTTTCTGTGGCCTGTTCAGAGATCTGTGAACAACACGAAACCGCGCGAGGCGCCCTCCCCCTCACACGGGTGCGCACACATACACACCAAGCCATCCTCCCCCCTCTATTGCCATCAGGATCTCAAAGCTTAGGACACTTAATTCCACCCTGGAGCCT